TAGAAAAGTGTGATGTCCAGAAAGCCAATTTAAAGAGGTATATCAAGAATGAGAGAATATGTAGTTATGTCAGATGACGATTATAAGTCAAGTAAGATGACCATTGGATTTAGCAAGGTGGAAGTCATTAGTGTTATGGAAAGTTTGGCACTTGTCCCAAGGCCACATCAGAAGAACAAGGACAACTGGTTCAAGGAGAAGGAAAGGGAGGTCTATTAACCTCCTGGCAAATGAGGAAAATGTCAGACTCCTGTCTTAAAAATACCAATTTTCCTATCTATAAGCAGCAATAACAGAGCTTTTAAAGGGAAGATTTTAAGTTTCCAGCAATTTCTGTTTAACCGTAGATTATGATTCTGATCCATCCCATCTCTACCCTGACAGTTCTGCTTAGTCATCTCCTGAGGTACAAATGACACTCCCATGCCCCTCTTGACCACTGGCCTGAAGGAGAGATGAAGATTTTAATTCTCAAAAAGAGTGGAGTAGTTTTAAAGAGATAATATGTAAAGCATTTTTACGCTTTTTCAGGCCATTCCCTCTGTTACATTAGTGGTCTTGATAAGAGCAGTTACATGGGTCAAAGTGTAGTTGGAGTATGAATTAATTAGTGCTATGTAAAAATTTACTCCACAACTTTGTATAAAACAAACATCATTTCACAGTTTCTGTGTGTCAGGAATTTAGCTGTATGCCTCTGGCTCAGGGTCTCCCATGAAGTTGTAGTCAATTACTTCTGCTGTATTCACACAAGATCATACCATTACTTCTGCTGTATTCACATGGATCAACCCTGTTACTTTGTAGGAGAATATTATGCCCGGGTGTGAATACTAGGAAGTGAGAATCATTGGAGGCCATCTTGACAGCTGGCTGTCACAAAATGGGCTAAAGAGAGAATGAGAGGAGAAGAATGAGATACACTAAATACCAAAGACTTTTTTGAGGCGTTTTGCCAGAAAGAGAAACAGAAAAATAGAGAGTCTGTCTAGGTGCATCTGCAGATGGATGCAGTAGTAGGAGCTTATAGAAATTCTGATTATTTTTGTCTTCTCATGAAATAAGAACCAAAGTTAGTGAGACCGTAGGCTAGATTTGAGGAGAGAAAATAATTTATGAAATAGTCATCTAAGAATGTGGGGAGAGAATGGATTCAGAAAATATAGTACAATTGCTAGGCAGTACCACAGGCCCATTTGAAATTGTCATGAATTTAAAGGATGTTAGTCAGAATAGTTGTATATTTTTCCTCATGCACATTGAATTTGTAAGTACAAGTATGGATTAGGCAGAGAGCTGGATTTATCAAAGTTGGGATTTATGTAGGTCACTGTGACAAAGCAAGAGTAGCATATATCCTTAATAGGATGTATGCAATAGTGTATGATAATGATGAATCATAGAATTTAAAATAGATAAGGAAAGTGAGGAATTGAAAGAAAATAGAGAGATAATGAGAAGGAGTAGAATTCATGGAATCTACTTCTGAATGGGATCAAAAGATTGTTGAACCTGTTGTATTAGACTGAGTTAGCTGGCAAGACAGGTGGAGATGCCAGAGAGGAAGTTGATTGAAATTCAAATTACAGGAGGATTGCAGCATTAGTAATATAAAAGTCTAGGTAATGATCATAGAAGTCTAGGTAATGATCATGTGGAGCTGAGGAGGGCTAAAGGGCAAGAATACTTACAGAGAAAAAGAACCTCAGATGTCAAGGATTAGAAAGTTTATATACAAAGTTATTGAATTCACCTAGAGTAGTTTTGAAGAAAGTGACCTTGAATTAGGAAGTAAAGCCTTCTAGAAATGAAGGTTTATAGAGACTGCATAAATGAGCAAGATGGTGAGTGGTACTGTACTATCTGATCACATGAGATTCAAAGCTGGTGGTATAAGTGGTTTTGGGGAAGAGAAAGTCTGAGAGCATCAGTAAGGAACAAAGAAGCTCCAGATCCAGTAGTAGGAGTGTAGCAGAGGAAACAGCCTCGAGAGTGAGAGACAGCATCTTTGGGAAGAGCAATAGGAAAACCTTTCTTTTCTGAGACACTGGATTCTAATTTCGCACTACCTGGGTGCTTCCAAGAAAATGTACTTTCTGTTGAGGAAAATTTCTTCCCATTTTCAACTCTTTTCTAAAATATTTAGAAATTGAATTTCTTATCTACTTGGTTTCCCTTTAAATGTATATATTGTGAAACATCTCAAACTTCCAGAAAAGTTGCAAGTATGATATAAGGAATTTTTTTTCCAAACCATTTAGGAGTAATTTGCTGACATCGTGCTCCCTCATTCTAAATCAGGCATCCTCAAACTACAGCCTGCGGGCCACATGCGGGTGTTTTTGCCCATTTGTTTTTTTACTTCAAAATAAGATATGTGCAGTATGCATAGGAATTTGTTCATAGTTTTTTTTAAACTATAGTCCGGCCCTCCAGCGGTCTGAGGGACAGTTGAACTGGCCCCCTGTTTAAAAAGTTTGAGGACTCCCCCATTCTAAATAGTTCAGCATGTATTTTTTCCAGAGAAGAATATTCTGCTACAGAACCTCAATACAACCCTGAAAATGATCAAGAAATGAACACTGGTATGTTAATACCATCTTATCGTCAGCACTGTTCAAGTTTTGCTAGATGTCGCTGTAAAATCCTTTGTAGCAAAATGATGCAGTTCAGCATCATACATTGTAATTAGTCATTATGTCTCTTAGTCTCTTTCATTCTGGAGCAGTTTGTCAGTCTTGCCTTGACTTTCATGACCCTGATACTTTTGAAGAATAGAAACCTGTTATTTTGTAGAATGTTCTTGATTTGTGTGGGTCCATGATTTCTTCATGATTAGATTCATGTTATATATCTTTGAAGACAGAAATATTTCAGAAGTGATGCTTATTTTTATTACATTCTTTTAGGCATTCTTTTAGGTGACAGATAATTTCTATTTATCCCTTTACTAATTATGTTAAATTTTCTGTCAGGCTTTACTACTGTAAAGTTATTCTTTTTCACTTTGTAAATTAATATGTCCTGTTTCTTAAAGTTCTGATTTTTCTCATTTATTTATTTGTATTAGTATGGATTTCTGTTTATTCAATGGATGTTAATCTGTTCCTGTCATAATTTATTTTGATGTTCACTTCATCCCAGATATGGCCAGAGGCATTCTCTTCAAGCTGGCTTCTATGTCCTTTTGTTTTATCCCCACACTCTCTGCTCCTTCTCCCTCAAGGATGCTCTCCTTGCACTGTTTGGGCTTCACTTCACACCAGGTCACTGCCCTATGTGGATAGCCTCCTCACTCCATTTGGACTCACTAAGGCCTTGTGCCAGAAGGTCCTTCTGCAGGATTGTTCTCACCTCACTTGGACTGCAATAGAGTATGTTCAGGCTACTGCTGCCCACCCCTTCCTCTAGCCCCCACCACCATATGAAAGTCTTTTTATTCCTTTTGGCACACCTGGCACCAGGCTGCCTCTCTTTAAGGACACCCTCCTCACCTAACTTGGGTTCCAAGCTTCTAGTCTTAGGTGCCCTCCCCTGCCGTTTCCCTATTCATCTTACTTGGACTGCCAATACCTTGCTCTAGGTCATCCTTCCACTTAAATTGCCCTCCTCATCCTGCTCAGGTTCAGACACTTCAGTCCAGGCTGCCCTCCAGCACTCCACACAGGCTCTGGCATCAGGCCTGTAGGGATTGGATAAGGGTGTCCTCCTTACTGCAGTTGGACTCTGATATCCCACTCTGGGCTACCTGCCTTTGGCTGACATCTACCACCCCATATGGATACTCTCATTACTCTGGTAGGACTCTGATACCCCACTCTGAGCTCCAGTCCCACATTGCTTGGTCTCTAGCTTCAACTGTTACTTCCGGAGGATAGAGTAATAAGGTCATAACAGCAGATGGGCTGTTGCAGTGACCTGACATCAAGGACCTGGAGGTAAACCAAACTTCACAGGCTAAGGACATAGTCCTCCACAAAACTTCTCTCAGTTCTTCTGCAAGTTTAGTGGGATCTGCAAGCTACCTGCACTTCTGAACAGCTAGTTATAAATTTGGGGGTTTTCATTGTTCCTTCATTGTTTGATAATTTATCAGAAAACTGAACAAACTCAAGAAAGTTTTGCATGTAATATTATAGCTTTATTATAGCAAAAGGATACAAATCAGAATCAGCCAAAAGAAGAGATGCAGATGGATGCTTCCATCTGGTGGTTCCCAGATATGAAGCATTTATTGTTTTCTCTCCATGGAGTCAGGATACATTACTTTTCCTCCCCTTGAACAGTGATATGTAACAATCTGCAGAGTATTGCCAACAGGGGAAGTTCACCTAAACTTCAGTGTCCCGAGTTTTTATTGATGTTTCACTATGTAGGCATGATTGATTAAATCATTGCCCATGTGGCTCAATCTTCAATCCTCCTTCCCTCCCTGAACATTGAACTTATATCACACGGCTCAAAGCCCAGCTGTTTAATCACATGGTTGGTCTTAGTGGTGTGGCCAGCCCCCATCCAGAGTCATCTCTGTAGCACAAACTATCTAGGGGCCCACTGTGAACCAATTCATTGGCATAAACTATCATAGCCCAACTAGTGACAAAGGCCAAACAAATTCTTTATTCCAAGGCTTTAGAGCTTACCTCTCAGCAATCAGGACAAAGGCCCATCAAATTCTTTACTATTTAGCTATGGAAAACTAAACTGCTTCCTTCTGTTGTATCCAGATCAATTATTTATTCTAAAGTGTTAACTTTGAGATTTCCTCATTTACCTTTCAGATTAACATAAGTCATATAACAATTTTATAATGACTATAATATATTCATTTTTATTATAGAAATTAGTAAACTTTCAGAAGTGTTCTAATACTGCTATATAAGATGGTAATGACTTTGGAGTAATATAATAAAACTTACAGTATTTTAAAGTAAAAGTATTAAGTTACTTGTATTATATTTTGCCTTTTACCTGTCAGTTACCAATCTTATCTTTTTTAGGTATGACTTTAGCCTTTCCAGCATCAGTTCATGATTCTCTGATTTGCAGTAAAACATTTCAAATTCTGTACAAAAATGAAGAGGTTGTTTTAAATGATGTCATGATTTTCAAAGTTAAAATGTTGTTGGATGAAAAAAAGGTAAACATCTCTTTATATATATTTAGATAAATATTTTTTGTAAAGCCTCAATGCATATTTCTAACTTTCTATAAAGATTTAAAAAGTATCTCATTGTAATTTCTCTTCAGATTGAAGAAACCCTTGAAGAAATGAATTTCCTATTGTCCTTGGATCTACACTTCACAGATGGAGATTATTCGTAAGTAGCTAATCAAACAATTAAAAAATCTTTAGATACTCATGACTGTTAATTTGTTAGTATTAGATTCCCCATTTTCTTACTAGAATCCAGCCTATCCCCAGCTTGTTTATTTTGAATTATTTCTTTTTCTGGGGGAATCTCATGAGAATGGTTAGGGCTGCTGTATTGTGCCCATTCTGATTCCATAAGCTCCAAGTAGCAAAATCAGATAAGTTAAAGAAATACAATTTTCTAGACACTAGAAATGGCACTGATAAAATATCACTACTATGGGGCATTTAAATATAACTAGCTCTCTTCCACTGTATCGCTGGCTAATCTTTCTTGGTGGCATGAGGTATGCCTTCTTTAGGTAGGACTTTGTTGATGTTCAGAGTTATCCAGACTGATGACTCTAAGGCTTGACAGTTGTTCTGTTAATAGTTCATTAATTTCTAGAGCCCTAGAGAAAGTTTTAGGACTGGCTACTTCAGACATGCCCACACACCTGGACATGCAGTCATATATTTTAGGGGAAAATTGTGCTTGTATTCATTTAAAATGAGAATCAAAGATAGATTTAACAGTTTTATTTTTGGAGGGTTTTTTTCCCCTCATTTCAAATGTAGTTTTTGTAATAATTCTTGAAAATGGTATTTAAATGCAGACTTCATGTAAGATTAATGACTAAATAGTCACAGTACTGAAAAATCTACTTCTTTTTTAACCAAGTCAGAATTCTTTATGTGGAGTAAGCTGAAACGAATAGGTAATTCATTATCTGTAGGTGGTTACAATGTATGTATGGATTTTTTTGAAAGTATATTTGGTTATAATTTTCCATGGCATCGTTTCAGATTTTTTATTTATGTAAATCTAATGATAGACTAAATATCCATAATAAAATATCTTTATTTTGCTAAGTAAGCAATGACCTACTTATTTTTGAGCAGCATTTAATAAAATTTTATACAATAAAAATAATTTGAAGTATCTTTTGGGATTTATTATAGTAGGATTTGACCTATGTTATACTTCAACCTTATAATAAACAGTATTTCCTATGGTGTAAAATTTACTGTAATGTGAGATTAATTCCTGAAGCATCAAAAAGGACTCATTTTACAGGGATATTAGTGAAAAAATACTTCATATCATGGACTGATAGAAAACTGTAGGTTTGATCTGGTTATTTTCTCAATTGTAATGTTTCATATTGTTGTCTAATACAAATTTGATGCTTTTAAAATTATTCTCATTCTAAATTTTAAAGTAATTAAGCATAATGTATGTTTTTGATAGTTTAAACTACAAAATATTGGCCTTTACTAAATATTCTGTATTTATAGGCAAATGTGTTGCTTTTTACAGGACAGATGATCTGAATGCCTTGCAACTAATAAGTAGCCGTACATTGAAGCTGCACTTTAGCCCCCACAGAGGCCTCCATCATCATGTTAATGTTATGTTTGATTATTTCCACCTTTCTGTTGTGTCTGTTACTGTCCATGCGTCACTGGTTGCACTACACCAGCCACTAATAAGGTAAATTTAACCAATGCCTTGGAACTTACTGATGTAATGTCTTTTAAAAGTGAAAACATACTTTGATAAAGATAACTGAGATAGTAAGAAATTTTTAAATTCATAAATATTTAATAAATACTTTCATTTTATACCAAAATAATAAAATTCAAGAGCTTAGAAACATTAGATTGATAACTTTTTTATTACTGAAGCATGGAATAATCTTTGTCAATTCTAAATAAGTTGACCAAGAAAAAGAATACATTCTGGAAATAACCGTAATAACATTGTTTAGTCTGTACCTGTGTTTTTGTGCAGTGCTATCCTGTAATTACTCATTCTTTGGAAAAATATATGAATTTTTTTCTTAGTTTTTCTCTTTACCTCTTTTCTAGATGGGCTAGGTTTATTTTCTTAACTCCATATCATATGATAATTTTTGCTAAGTTATGAACCAATTTTATTGATTTTTTTACTAAGTGTTTTAAAACTATACCATGTACGATTTTAGTTTAAAGGGTATATAATATTCTGGATCATAGGAAATGCATTGGGATAATTATATTTTCTGTCCACTTCCATGAGGAAACAGATTGGCTTTCATTAATGTATAAGTACCCTTCAGGCTCTTCAGTTTTTACAGTAGAACATCAATCTTGTAGTATGGACAGCCAGTGGACACTTTAAATCAGTAACTTATATGAGAACACTCCCAGTTGATTTGATTTCTGAACTGTCTATAATTTCTGATGCAAATCTGATTCTGACAACTGATATTAGGGATAATGCCTAAGGGATGTGGTGAACTCATTTATCAGATAGCCAAGTAGGTCATTTTTGCAGAATTATTCTCAGAATTTATAGAAGTCCAACACAATTTAACATATTGACCACAAGTAATAGCCTCCTGTGGCACATCTTTGCATTATTTTAAAAACTAATTGAGAACCTATCATTGTGTTGCTCTCTAATCTCTTACCAAAAGATCATCTTGACCTAGTTCCTTTTAGAGCGCAGGGCCAGAAAGAAGTATATTTCTCCTGATGACTTGCTTTGCCTTCCTATTCTATAATAAGATCTGTAACTGGTTGTTTTGCTGTATTTGTCTTACCTCTTTAGGCCTTTGAGAGGTTGTACTCAATTGCAATACTTTTTAGAAAGAAGAAGGTATTTTTTATTATAAAATTCTTGAAAAATTTTGGAAGTTTTTCTGAAATAGATTAATATGTCATAACATTATAAGTTAATGAAGCTTGTGTGACAAGAAAATGTTTTTGAAATATAACTTCAAGTAATATACAATGTTGCATTTATATGATTATTACATGTTAGATTTTAATGCTAAAATTTTATATATAAATTACACTACTATAGTTTTCTGAATATTCTTTTTGTAATTTCAGTAAGATTCCCTAATTAAACTGTTTTAACCATTTCTTTGTAAAACTTACCAAGATTATATTTATAAAACTAGCTTAGTTTCTTATTTGAAAAATGCACAAACAATTCATAGAGGTTAGCTCAGGTTATTAGTGTTGCTGTTTAAGACCCTAATTAAACAGAATAGTGATATTCATGTCACTAATCCTAGTGAGTTAAATGTGTGCTTCCTCTTGAAATGCAGCAACTTTTGCCTCAGACTATTAGGAGAAAGGGGCAGCTCATCTCCTAGAGGCCGTTTACTGGAAGAAGACATTTTTGGCTCAGAATCAGAAGCCAAGAGGATTAACTGTTGGCTCTGGTTAGTGACTGGAAAAGAAAACAACCTGCCTGCAACAGCTGAGGTTGCTGTTCTCTAGCTAGCTACCCTTTTATCTATCCCTTTTCTCGCTGCTAAAACTTTGCCCTGAAAGAAGCAGCAGCTTTGCCTGCCTTCTTCTGCCTGTAAATGATAGGTTGGGAAAGGGAAGCAAGGAAGGGATAAAGGAAAAGCTTTTTGCTGGTGATGTGCTGGTTAAAGGGTCATGTCTAAGGGTAACATTCCTTACCATTTATTCTTCAACAAGTTTTTCCTGAAGTTTTATTATAGGTGGCTTTTTATCCTCTAAGCACATTGAAAAAATTTTAATTTATAACATTACCCTTTTAAATGTCATTTTTATTTAAAATCATTCTATGATCAACCCAATTATAGATATTATATTGATTATTTAAAGTAAATGTCTTAGGTTTCTTTCTTTGATTTTTACATGACCTATTTCTTATATTAGAATTTTTTTAAGTATAACTTTTATGACTCAATTCTGAAAAACACATTGTAGCAAGTAGAATTTACCATTGATTTGCTGGGATTTACCCTTCTTTGCTGGGATATAGATGTTTTATTTTTGCAAAGCTAATTGATTTTGCAAAAAAAGGCTACTCTCTGCTTATGGCAGAATTGATTTATTTTCCCTTTTGCCAAACTACCAAAAATTTCAAATGCTTTGGCCTACTTTATCTCAAATGTAACTGTGTATGATTTTTAAACATTCAAACAGGAATGTGCTTCTTATTCTATGAAATTTATGGACTATTAAATGTAATGTTAATACCAACAGAAGTAGTTCATACATGGTTGAGATGGTGCCTTGAAGCAATTATAAAAATTATTTTAATAGCATTTATAGCCTTTTAGTGAAGAGAATTAAAAGAAATAACTTATTTTGGGGAAATAGAGGCATCAAGTAGATTTAGTAAGTTTTCTTCCTCTGCCTTTAAGTGAGTGCTCTTTATTTCTGTAAATAGCATCCATACTTGATTAAGTGTTAACATTTTAGACTTGGTACACAGTTCTCGCAGATCAGCATTTCCAAATTCAAGCTTGACTCTCATGTGTCATTTAGCTACTCTTCATCCCACCATGTTTTATCTTTAATGTCCTTTGAAACTTCCGGAAATTCAGATATAAAGAAGCAATCTCAAATATCCAGCCTTAGTTTTTTCATACTCATTATAAATCTTTCATAATTATTCAAAATTAAAGGAAAAATTACTTTAATATTACCTTAGAATTCATAACCTTGCAAAATCCTTACTCTTCTATTCCTATAAGATTTTCTTTTGTAAATATTTAAATATGTTCAAATAAACTGTTATGACAATAATAATGTAATACTTATTCCTCCAGCTTTCCTCGCCCTGTGAAGACTACTTGGTTAAATAGAAATGCACCAGCACAAAACAAAGATTCTGTGATTCCTACACTTGAAAGTGTGGTCTTTGGTATTAACTACACAAAACAGTTATCACCAGATGTAAGAAATGAATATGTTTATAAATCTTCTTTTTCTTATTATTTTAAATGTTTTAACTGTTTTATCTGTGATAATGCGACATTTCTTTTATTATTTTAGCTTAGCAACGAACAGATCTACTTAAATATGATCTTAACAAATTGTTTGGTTCAAATTATCTGTTTTGAAAACTAACTTCAGTTCTTAACAGATTTTAGTGAATAGAGATCTTTGACAGCAAGTTCCTCTTTAAACTTGTACTGTCACCCTTTTCTCTCTTAACAAAACTGATAGAATCATTCCAGAGGTGTGCCTTTAAGGAACAATTGCCAGAGTTGAAACTGAGTTTAGAGTAGTGCAAATACAACCATTATCATAAAAGGAAAGGGGATTTATCCTATAAAAGCAGAGCATCTGTTCTTCAGTTCAAATGTAATATGAGTCTCATATTATCAAAAAATCATAATTTCATTTGCTTGTAATAAAAATCCACTGTAACTGAAATTACTAGGGTCTCATTTCATGTATTTAAATTACTTATAAGAACAACTCTCTAAAATATTGCTGAATTTCTTATATGATTTAGAATAACTGATTGCAAATGCTTAGGTATTTTTTCTTTGTTATTTCAAGTTTCAAGTGTAATATTTTAGATTTTGGGTTACTAACACTCTGTATACCAAATCTTTGTTTTGTTTAGGGTTGCAGCTTCATCATTGCAGACTCCTTCCTACATCATGCCTATCGTTTTCATTATACACTTTGTGCCACTTTGCTGCTAGCCTTCAAGGGATTGCACAGCTACTTCATTACGGTAACAGAAGAGATTCCCTCTTGTCAGAAACTAGAACTGGGTATGTTAAAAGTAGCAAGACCTATCCTACAGTTGAAGTCATTCTCTTCGTTCTTACATTGCTAGTTATCAGCTTTGCCATAGTGTTTCTGTACTAAAACTACAATGTTTATCTACTTCACTTTTACTTTTCTGTCAATTCCATCTTTTTCAACTCTTGATAATCACTTTTTGCAGTTTAAAAACTTTTTTATAATATTCAGAAATAACTTCTTGGTGCTAAGTTTGAAATGAGTCTTTTGATAGATTTTTTTTTTAAAAGCCATATGTCAGTATACTACTACTCTTATAACCAGAAAACATGCTAGAAAGCAAATGTAATTATCTGTGGAATCATAGGAGGGTATATTAAATTCATACTTTCAAATATTTTACAGTCTAAGCAGATTGTAAGTCTTGGAACATTTTTAAGTACATATGGTTTTCAGATCTGTATTCTTTTTATATTGCTTTAAGGAATAATAACGTTACTTATTTTAACATTTTGAAAATTATTTAAATCATTAAAAAAAATCAAGCTTCAGGTTTAATCCAAAAATAATATCTGTATACATGTTGCAGCACATAATAAAAATCATATTGTCTTGATTTCATACCATTTGTAGTTCGCAAAATGCTTTTACATATATCATTTCACAGATGATAAATTATTGGGATTGGCAAAATAAATTTTTATTCAGACTTTTTATGTCAATGTTATACGCTTTTGTTTTCAAATATCAGCTAGTAGCTTATAAAAAGCACATGTAATTATTTCCTCAGAATAAATTATTTTTACCATATATTTGAAAAAATCATGGATTGCTCTTTGAAGTTTACTTAATCAGTATTGCTTGTTCATTCCTTTGTTCCTCAAGGATCTCAGTCGTTTAACAATATCAATGTATTCTCTAAAATAGTCATTGTTATTGAAAATAGTTCTTGGGTTTGAGACTAATGAGGCTATTTTTTTAGTTGTCTGTTTTGGGTTATAAAATAATTGCAAGAAAGTGTAAGGATTTGTACCCCACTTAAATTCAGCTGTGAGAAAATGCTAGCTGTTGTGCCACTGCCTATTAGCAACTAAACGGATTTGATTAATTCCGTTATTCAGTCAAGTTAGTTCATACTATCTTGACTAGACATAATTATTACAAAATTGACTGTTAGAAATGCTTGATTCAGTAATCCCAATGGTTACACAGATACACAAGCAATAGGAAAATGTGTTTATTGCTTCTTGACCACATATTCTTTCTCAAAATAAAAATGGTAGTGTGGAAGGGATAAATCTTTTGATCATTATTCTCCAAAACATTCTCTTTTTTCCTTGTATTTTATATGCTTAGAATCCTTCTATTTTCTTTAGGAAAATTCTACAGAGACTACTGCCTCAAATGTAAACTTTTTAAAGTTTTCTTTGTTAAAAATGAAAGCGTCATTTGTAGAATAGAGCTAATGTAAACCATTCCTTATCCTCAATTAGTGGAAAAATTGTGTTCCAAATATTTTTTTAGTTTGGTGGTTAGAACTCAAAAACATTTTTGTAGGAGAATTATATTAAAATTTTGGTTAGGTTTGATGACCATATCACAAAGCTATTAAACCACAATATTAATAAAGGACACTATCACATGCCTGAAAAGTAGTAGCATAAAAAGTAGTGATGTAAAACTTAAAAGCCATGTGTAATAGTATTTCTACAAGAAAATGTGTTAATAGTCTCAATATGTAATACTACAGTAGAATTCAGGAAGGCATTATCTTGTGGTTACAAGTGCATATTCAGAACCATTTCTGTCACTCTCTTTAGTTCTATAAACAAAATGATTTCCATTTTTTGAGGTAAGGAGATTAAAGGGAATCAGATGTGGTGCATGTATCAGAAAGGAAAGGTAAAATCATCCTAAAGGCAGAAAAGGGTATAAAGGAGCTCTAGGAATAATACTTCTTAATTAATTCCTTTAGGCTTTTTATGAGCACCTATTGTGTCAGGTACTATGCTAAGTATAGAGGAAAGGATAGGTCTCTGTCTTTAAAAAAATTTGACTTCTCCTCTTCCCTCTCCTCTCAAAACAGTAATAAGAAATCAGCTTAGCATTGGGATAAGCAAGAGAAACTCACCCAGCAAGACGAATATATTCACATTAAGGTTAGCTTGGCCTATAAATGCCTGTATAAGGAAGATATCCATCTGCATATAATTTGCAAGTAGATTGAGCATGTAATATTTATAAATGAAAAAAACATGAGTCACATTTTAAGCTAGAAAAAATTTCTTTCCAAAAGGAATTATGTTTATTCATAAAATTTATAATTAGTAATGAAACAAAAATGTTTCACTTTTCAAAGGCAAAGATTTATTTCAAATAGCCTAGACAATATTAGTACTTTGTTACTAATTTATTAATCTACCCTCAGCTTGATAATTTATTTGTAAGATTTTCAGTTGTCTTTCAGGTAAGGATGGCTTTTATGTCTTACATATTATTCTGGGCTTATAGATATAATATTAAAAAATAACATAATAAAAGAGCCCTTATATTTAATTTCAGGGGTCAGTTACCAAATGAATGTCAGCTTTATTCCAAAATATTTGCTTAAAATATTTTATCAGAAGATAAAATTCTAAAGCAAACCTAGGCTTCATTCAGTTTTGATAAATAATAAAAATAAAATAACATTATTAGTACCTTACACATATGTACTCAAAATATATTTGTTGAATGAATGAATGAATGAGTGAAGTAGTTCAATACAATTTTTGTTGTTACCTGAAAAAGCATCAGGCCGGGAGCGATGGCTCACGCCTGTAATCCTAGCACTCTGGGAGGCCGAGGCGGGTGGATTGCTTGAGGTCAGGAGTTTGAAACCAGCCTGAGCAAGAGCGAGACCCATCTCTACTATAAATAGAAAGAAATTAATTGGCCAACTAATATATATAGAAAAAAATTAGCTGGGCATGGTGGTGCATGCCTGTTGTAGTCGCAGCTACTTGGGAGGCTGAGGCAGTAGGATTGCTTGAGCCCAGGAGTTTGAGGTTGCTGTGAGCTAGGCTGATGCCACGGCACTCTAGCCTGGGCAACAAAGTGAGACTCTGTCTAAAAAAAAGAAAGAGAGAGAGAGAGAGAGAGAGAGAAAACAAGCAAGCATAGGCATTAACACATACCTTATAACAGTTTTTTAGTGATTTTTAAAATCAAGACTCATCTTCAATAAATATTGGTAATGCTTTGTGTTCTTAAACTTTACTATTTTATATTTTCCTTTCTCTTTATTGTGAATTTTAGATTATTCTTGAATGCATCTTCTAGGAAAACATCTAAAAATGCTATTAGCTATTCAAAATAAAAGTATTTATTGCATATTCTGAACTATCAATATTATTTGTTTTTATCCTACCAAATTAAATTGTGGTCACTAATGTATTTCCATAATATACCATTGAGTAAATATCACTATATTCACCAATTTTAATAAGTAGATATAAAGTAGTTCTTAATTAGAGAACATATTATATTTGCTTCTATTATTTAGTACTTTTCTTAAGTTTTCAAATAAGCATATATTTAAAATTCTTAAACTTCACCATGCTTTGAAAAATTGATCTAAAATCTATTCCCTCTTTTAAAATAATACCTTGATTTCCTTTCTGCTCTTTTGCCTTTTTCTTTTCTTATAGATGAATGATGTACATTTTATGATAACATATAGTTAAATATTGGTTTGATGCAAGAAGCTCTTACTGAAAACAAGAGTAAGGATTTCTGAAATCTAGGTTTTGGCAGGTCACATAACCCATCTGAACCTCAGTATCTACACTTGTGAAAGCAGGGAGTGGACCTAGCTGATTTCTGAGATCCTTGCCAAAACTCAAATTCTGAGTCTAAGAAATTAAAATATAAAAATGATATTGGATTATGAAAAGTTGATGGCAAATTTAAATAGAAAAAAACAAAGTAATATAAACCTGAATGTACATCATTTGTAATTCTAATAAGCTAATTACCTAACTGCACTATCAGATCAATACTAAGTTTATTATTAACAAGTTGGAAAATTCTGGTAAATTTTGTTGTAAAAGGAGTGTAGTAACTAGTGCTGTGTGCAATCCTTATAACTAGCCAAGGCCAACATGCAGGTCCTATATGAGCGTCTTCTCAGAAGAAAACAGCCACGAACCCAGAAAGACACCTGTCTAGGTATGTTTACAATTAGGCTAAGTAAATAATCCCTTTTAAATAGTATGAAATTTTGCTTTAAATTAGCATCAATTTCATAAATATATATTTATTCATATAATGTGTTTTCACCACTTTTATTTAAGAACTTACCTTTAGAATCAGTTTGGTTTGTAGATAAGTTTTGGTTAATTTCTTAATTAATTCACAATATTTAAGTTTTTATTTGAAACTGGAAATGGTAAATGCAAAGAATATACTTTTTCCATATTCTTTCTAGAGTTTCTACAAAGAACACTTTTTTGAAATCCTGCTTATTGCCAGAATTTGTTGGTTTTATGGATATTGCCTTAAATTTGCTCTCAAAGTAATTTCATCTTTGGATAGACCTGATAATGAAATGTGACTTAAAAACTTGTTTCATGCAGAAATAGAGAAGAGAAACATCTTCAGTATCTGGTTTTGGTTTTTTTTAAGTCAATTTTTATTTATTTTTTGTTATTCTATGTAAAACCAAAATAACATCATCAAATTACCACTATCCAGATATGTTACATGTGGTAAAGGAAATATTCTGATCTCATTATTTTATTTATATACTTTTATATATATTTTAGACATTTGTTTTTGATTAGCAATAGTACTTAATTTACTATCTTTCTTTCTGTAAGTATATAAAATGATTTTACTTTGTGTTGACTAGACCATCACAATTACATTTTTTAAAAATTATGAAAAACTGTAAAAATCAAAAAATGAAATAAAATCACAATATTTCTCAATTTTCAAAAGTATAAACAAAAATCAATAAAGAAGCCACAATCTTTTATAACATTTCTTAGATGAAAACTAGCTCAGAAATAACTATTATGTTTTCACTAAAACTGTTAAGAGAAACTGATTTTTTATCAGGAAGAAAAAAGAAAGGTTGAAAATTTATTTATAGTCATTCTTGGGAGTATAGTTTTATATGCCCATATAAAATTACTGTAAAATCAAAGAATTGATCATATGAAATTGTGGTTATTTATGACATGTGTTAGCTTTTTTCTTTTTACTCATTTAAATATACTTCTAATTTAAACTATTATATTGCCAGCCTATCAATTTACATGTGAGCATTCTAAATAGTTTTACAAAATGCTGTTTAATATAATAAGAAATATACAATGAAAGGGCCAGATCTTGATTGAGTAGAAAAAGGCTTGAATCAAAACTAAAGCGTGATGAAGTTAATTAAATAACACTTTTACTGAGATATCTTTTATCCTTAAACTTGTATTGGCATTTTCTGAGCTATATTATAAGTATTCATTGAATGAATGGATAGACGAATGGGTGGTTAGATTTAAGAAATAAATGTAAGATACATGTGTGGTACTTTGACTTAGCAACCCCACTTCTGTTAACCTGTATCATAAAAATAAGATACTAGTATGTAAAGACACAGATACAAACAGGTTTATTGCAGTATTATTCTTAGTGGCAAAACACTGTAAACAAAGATAAATGCCCATCATTTGGGCAAAGAACAGACCAGAAAAAATTATGATGCACCCACATCAAAGCATATTATGTAGCCATTTTTAAAAAATGCTTTAGAGCTGGGTGCCAGATTTTCATGAAGTACTGCTGAGAGGAAAAAAGCAAGATATAGAGAACTATGTAAAATATAATCCCATTTTTGTAAAACAATAACTCCAAAACTCATACATGTATATGTATATTTGAAAAATATGGAAGTATATGTTCTATATTATAACCTTGGAGTAGCAAGAGGAGCCTAGGCCCCTCAAAAAATTTATATAATGATCACATTTATACATTTCTATGAAATTGTATAAATGGATATGCAGCATACCCTTGAACAATGCAGGTATTGGGGTCCCAACCCCCATATAGTCAAAAATCTACGTATAACTTTTGACTTCCCTAAAACTTAACTATTAATAAATAGCCTGCTCACTGGAAGCCTTACCAATAACATATACAGCTGATTAACAGATAAAATGATTAGTATATACATATATTTTATGCATTTATGACCTACCTTTTTCTTAATTTTTTTGATATTTCTAGGCTACAAAGTTTGCTAGGTTTTGAAAATTAACACAGATCTCAAGAAACTTTCCAATTATCCATTGAAAGAAATTTGCATATAAGTGTATCTGCACAATTCAAACTCTTATTGTTCAAGGGTCAACTGTATATGTCATTTTAGAAAGAAGAAATAATTAAAATAGAGTTTTAAACTTGGTTAAAAATCCTCAATGATTTTGAAATAATTTTGATCCTAAGATTTTGAAGTTTTGCTTTTAAACATCCTTTTAAGATTTTGTTCCAGTTATTGTATTTAGGCTCTTCTATGTAAACATTTAAAAAATGCATCAAGGCCCGGCGCGGTGGCTCACGCCTGTAATCCTAGCACTTTGGGAGGCCGAGGCAGGCGGATCGCTCAAGGTCAGGAGTTCGAAACCAGCCTGAGCGAGACCCCGTCTCTACCAAAAATAGAAAGAAATTAATTGACCAACTAAAAATATATATACAAAAAATTAGCCGGGCATGGTGGCGCATGCCTGTAGTCCCAGCTACTCGGGAGGCTGAGGCAGTAGGATCGCTGAGCCCAGGAGATTGAGGTTGCTGTGAGCCAGGCTGACGCCACGGCACTCACTCTAGCCTGGGCAACAAAGTGAGACTCTGTCTCAAAAAAAAAAAAAAATGCATCAAAACTCTAAAGAGTTTATTTTCATTTTTTTTTTTTAATTGAGAGGTAGGATATGTAACCTACTAAGACTGATTTTACTGATTTTCTCCTATCACAAGAAAAGAAAAGAGCACAAGTAATGTGAAAAAAGATATTGCCTTGTGGAATTTGTAACTTTAATGGAGGGTCTACTGCTGATTTTTTTAGTTTTGGAAAACCTAATATTAGAAGCCACTGATTTATCTGACAGTGAAATGATTTGCGAAATCTTAGCAAATTTCTCTAGTTATAAACAAGTAGACCAAATTAGTGATCTATCTCATGGTATATGTCAATATGCAATTTTATTTGTATATTTTGTGAATTACAAAATGTATATATGTGTTCTATTGGTTTTAGTTACGAACAGAGTATTTGTTCACATTATAGTGTGGTTGTGTTTAGCACATAATCGTGACTGCTTATTTTATTAAATTTTAAATATTATTCTTTTTGTCATGTAGTAAACATTCAGTCTATCTTATGAGATATGGAACTGACAAGTGAATTCAGGAATGTGATAGAATGTACTTTTGCCTTTGTATGAGAATGATCAGTTTAACTCTATCATAATAATCATAATAAAATTATGAAATTTTATGATTATAACTATACTTTTAAGAGAACTTCTTTTAAGAGAACTTATTTTAGTTTGATTTCTAGTTAAAAATTAATTCTATTTAAAATATTTCAGGCCTTAGTATAATTGCTCCCGGTAAAAAATAAGTAATAAATCATTATATTCTGTTAGTTTCTGTATTCCCTTGTAAATATTACTGTTTTAACTGTAAATATATACATACCTTTATAGATAATTATTATAGCATACATTAAATAAATCAGGATTGGGGCAAAAATCTGCCTCAGTTTAAGAATATCTTACAGAAAAATAAATTTACTAAACTAAATTAGGAACTACCTTTTTATTGAAAAGGATTTTATCATTCACTTTTATTAAATATTTATGCTGCAGGTATGTTTTAAATATGTTTCAGTTATAAAAACTAATTTCACTTGAGTGTTTTAGGAATAACTTTGTAAAAAGAAAGGCATTTATACATATAACACAAAATATTAAACTTTACAAGAAATTATAAAATATGAAATACAGTAAAACCTAATTATACATTTTTTCTTTTCTGTGACACAGTTGTGCAAGTGTTAGCTGTTGTGAGAACTGAAATACACTAATAATAAAAACATAACATTTAATAATGTTAACTATGTAATTAATGTATTTATGAAAATATATTACAGTGAAATTTAATTTATTGAATATAGTCCAAAAGATATTTCTCAATCTTCTGATTTGTTACGGGAATTTAATTTACTTATATAATTTCAAAAATAGTTTTCAGATCTAACATTGAAATATTTCCTCTAATTACTCTTTACTCCTTCCAGAGGAAATGGATGTAGAAGCTCGGCTTACTGAACTATGTGAAGAAGTTAAGGTACTTGGATTTTTAAAATTCACATTATCAAGTTATTGAGTGGTGTCTGTTTCCTATTATAAATATTTGGTCTGTGAAAACTCAAATTAATTAATAATTGTCTTTCCTGAAATGCAAAGATAAAATGGTTAATCATGGTAGAACCACAACTTAATTGATCAAAATACATTTGACGTTAGCATCAAGTTAATTCATGTTCTTAAAAGTATATTATTCTGCATATACATGAACTATCAAAGATAATTGTTCAAAAATGTACATTTTCTAATATTAGTTCATTCAAAGATTTCTGGACAAATTTTTTAAACATTACTTGAACTTGTATAGTTTTGTAAAATGATATTTAAAAATGAAAAATTGTTTTATTTCAACAGATCAGTTTCTGTGTCAGATAATTTTTTTAGTTCATTCTTACAATTAAATTAGATAGATATTTTTTTTTTTTTGGCCAAGACATTAAATGTTTTGACTATTTTAAGTTCATTATATATTTGATCAGCTACAATGGAAGAAATCAGAGGCATGAATCAAATGAAAATATGTATTTGGTTTGGTATATATGTATTTATATATAAATTTGAATGCAGTTAAACATAGGCAGATACATAAGTAATTTTTATACTATCCTAGAGGCTTTACTTGTAGTTCAAATAAGCATTTTCTTTAAAAAAATCACTAATGTTCTTGTAATAATAGTTGCTTGAAAGAACATCAAATACTTAAAAATAATATTAAGATATGTGCGATTAATATGAAAAAATCTACAGTGTTTCACTGAGTGATTGAAGAAAATTTGAATAAATAAACATGATACTCCCTTATAGAAGGATAATCACTGAAAGTTAATCAAATTTTCTCAGAGTTAATCATTTTAATGAGTCCAAATCAAAATCCCACTGGGAATTTTTAAACTTACTTTAAAAATCATTTAAAGAAATAAAAAGGGTGGCTAAGAAAACTTACAGGACTTGCCCAACTAGATACTAAAATATGTATAAAATAACAATAACAGAAATAAGGTAGGATTTTTCTAAAAGAATAGATAAGTCTTGGGGGGAGGGGGGGAAATGGGCATTTATTGAAACCTTAAAATCTGTACCCCCGTAATATGCCAAATTAAAAAAAAATAATAAAAAAAAAGAATAGATAAGTCAATGGAACTATTAATAAATAGCACTAAAATAGTCACTAATATGTTTAACAACTAAACATTGAGGTTTAGAAATAGTATGGTAAATTTAGTTCTTCATACCATGCTACAGAAGCATTGTAAATGGACTAAAAAGTTAAATGTCCAAAAAATTTAGCAGGAAAAAAATTACATGTACATGTAAATATAAGCAATCTGATCTTGGGATATGAAATGACTTCAGACAATAAAAAGAAAAAGAATAAAAGAGACTAAGGGACAAAATAAGATATTGATGATTTGAAACTTCTTTATAACATACTATAAATAAAGTTGAAAGCAAGCAAGCAATAGACTGGAAGAGAATATTTGCAATATTTAAAACCAGTAAATGCTTAATGCTCACGATATATAAAGTGCTCCTGTGTATCAATTTCATAACACCCTTGCAAAAAAGGGATACACAGAGGTAGTGCACAAATAGGCAATTCTTGGCAGAACAGGTTAGCTACCTATATGAAACGTTAGCTACCTCATTCTTACTGAAAACCAGGGAAGTGTAGATTTTAACAGTATTTTTTTTTTGCCCATGAAATTTGCAAAAATAAAAGTGACCGCTAATTTCCATTGTTATTAAGGGTGTAAGGAAACTAGTATCTGCATACACTGTTGGTGATGGTATAAATTGGTACAATATTTTTGAGATCAATTTATCAATCTATTTTAAAAATATTTCTTAAACTCACATTAGCTTTCATACAACAGTTTTTATTTAATAATCTATTCTACAAAAGTATTCCTAAGCTACACAAATATGAATATAAAGAATTGCATCATTAGGTATTATAAACTCCCATGTAGCTACTTAAAACAATTAGGTAGATCTCTTTGTATTGTCATGAATTATTTAATTCAGGAAATATTTATTGATCTATGACATTAGATACTGTTTTCATGCTGAAAAACTCTTCAAGATATATTAATTGAAAAAGATAAATTGAAAAATATCAATATAGTATATTTCATATAGTACATAATAAAAACTAAAAAACTAGGTATTTGATTGTGTTTATGTGTTTACAAATAAAGTATTTGAAAGTATATATATATATTCCAAACTGTTAACATTAATACAGAAAAAGGTTGCATGAAGGATACGGAATATAAAGGGGAATCTTTATTCTTTATATGCATCTATGTTAAAATTTTTTAAATAATACATATGTAATAATACTAATAAATATTTAAGATACACATTTAAATTTCAGTGTGTAAATGAACATCATAAAATTTAACAACAGCGTAAATTTTGACAACAGAATAGACAAAAATATATGATGACAGTATTTAAAGATCTTAAACAAATCCATATGAACACATGTAATTACCATTTTGTATATTAGCATAGGATAGATACCCAGTTACAAAAAAGGCTAATATATGACAAATATTGTCTCATTAATGATCAAGGAAACAAAAATTTAAATATTATGATACCATTTTTAACCTATCATATTCGCTGTGATTTTTAAAAATAACATTGTGTTTCCTGAGATATGGTAAGGTAAAGATTCTCATATCTTGTAGATCTTTTTCAGAGATTGATTTGGCAATATGTATCCAAAGCCAAAAAGAGTATCCCTTTTCAGTCTTATACTAAAAACATAATCAGAGATTCATGCAAAGACTTACAATACTGTAAAAATGTTAACCCAAATAAATATCCACAGGAGAATGGTTAAACAAATTATGGGATCTTCACAATCTAAAACTATATAACCTTAAACATGGTGCTTTCAACAAATGTTTGATGTAGAAAAATGCCCATACTGTGTGATTCAATGAGAATGGTATAAATATATGATTTTAGCTTTTGCCCTAAATATTTAACTGAAAAAAATTTGAAGCTTATGCGCTAAAATGAACTTTTACTTTCTTCTTTTTTTGCTTTCTATTTTCTAAGAAGTCTATTAAAGTAAGCAATACTTTGTAATCAAAGATCAGTGAACGTTATGAAAAATATATATCTGTATAAGACAAGATAATGTGATTTGAAAAGTACGCAAATGTAAGGTCTTATTCTTACATTTATGCTTTTAAAAGATTTTGCCAAACTTAATTCTAATTTCTTTTTTTAATGTAAAAAAGAATTTTATTATTTATTTAGAGATTGATTACAAGAGATTTATTTAAACCAGAGGAGTAATTTATTTATAGTTGAAAGGATGCTTTTCCAATACTGAAAATACTAAAATCCTGTCTCAGGACCTTGATACCATGATCCATAGGAAATGAAATTAATAATTACTGGGTATCAAGATAGGTTTGCTCTCAGGAAAGGAAAAAAACACATTGTGTACTTCATTCAGCCCGTCGTAAGGCCAAGACATTTATTTCTACTTGTATGTAGACTATACTACATTTATTTTTCCTACAAAATATTATTTAATTACTTTCACATGCTTATCCAACTCTTCTTATTATAAACTCCATTAAAACCATCCTTGGGACAATAATTCTGTAGGTTTTAGCTTCTTTTAGCATATATTTTAATATGTATGTTCTTAAAAGAGACATGAAACACTTGTTAGCTTCATTCTAATACATTTATAAAAAGATTTCCTGTGACAAAACACATCCATAGATTCATCATATGTTGATGAATCCTTATTCATTATGTAATGACGATGTTAGCTTCCATTCCAGAATCCTGGAATTTGTAAATGTTTTTTATAAATTCTGGGAGCTTTTTTCCTTAAAAATATAAACATCTTCTATAAATTCTATAAACAGATAATCTTTTTCTGTAAATTCTGGATGCTTTTTTTTCTTTAAAATCTGAAGTCTGTAATTCCTGTAATTCCTCATTCATTCATTCACTCAGTAAATATTTATTTATTTACTACTCTGTAACAGTCACTGGAGTCACAAAAGTGGATAGCACATGATCATAATACCTTCCCTTCTTAGTAATTATCCCTTCTTACTAATTTTGCTAATTTTGTTTTGTGTCTTCTCTGAGTTAGGATGGATAAATGGAAGCTTGATTTGTGTTGGAGAAAATGAGTAGCAGTTATATATGTGATAATCAACCTTTGTAGATAAATATATTATAAATATATATACTTAATATAAGATACGTATATTTTATATACAAGTATATATTTATTTAATATAGTAAATATAGTTTTTAAATATTAATATATATGTTTTGAAGAATGGATACAATTGTAGCGCAATTGTAGGTAATGGGTCTGGAGCTCACGAGAAAGAAGTGATCCTAAGATATCAATTTAGCAATTGTAGGTTGGTGTATAGATGGTAATTGAAACCATGGAATTGGCTTTCAATATCAACTTCTGTATTCTTTAGGATAGGGAAATGAAGTCAGCATCCATCTGTATATTTAAGGTAGATTTGCTAGCGTTGCTAATTGAAAGATAAATTTTAGCAGCAAGGTATTACCTGCCTGAAAACTAACTGCAGCCTCGATGAATTAAAGTCATGTCCTCATAATAAAAATACTTGCCCTAAAAAGAAGCAATCCTTCTGACTTATAGTCTTTCATTATTCTTTATTTAAAAATCCTTATTTAGTCAACTCAAGAAAACCAGTTGCATTTTAGAAGATTCTACATGTCATAGTACAATTTAGTACTTTTAACTTTTATAATCAGTTTAGACGAATATTTAAGTGGAATAATTTAATACCACTATTAGAGCACTCATAATAGTACTTTATAATAGATTATTTACCTGCTTTTCTCTTCTTACAAGACTGTGAGCTTCCCATAGTAATCTTTGTGTCTCTAGAATATAGACTCTAGCATTTAAAATGTGTTCAATAAACTGTGGATAAATGAATTGTTAGAAAAGAAAAAGAAATAAGATGTTTGACAACTCTGTAAAAGGATTACTCACAAGTGAAGTAAAGCCTCTTTTTCTGAAGAGTTACAGATAATTTAAATACTTCACTTAGCTGATTTGGGGAAAAATACTTTACAAATTTATTATTATTTAAAAATATTTATAATAACTTTCATCCTCATTTGTACATTGTGTTTAAAATTCCCAATATTTTGATGTTAGAAGTTGATCATCCTCTATAGAATCTTAATTTGTAATTTTAGATTATAATTAACATTATTTCAGTAACAAGGTATCTCAGATATTGAAATATCAGAAAATCGCTACAGTAATTGTCATTTAAGTAGAAAACCATTGGTGAGTTGGTCTTTTCCTCTCTCTACACACATGTGCACACACACACAACAAATTTTTAAAACAAATTTGCCTTTGTATTCATATTCTCAGTAACATTATATTTAAATATGTTATAGTAAATTCAGGAAGCAGTAAAGTTTTTTTTTTCTTATTTCAGAAAATAGAAAATCCTGATGAACTGGCAGAACTTATAAATATGAATCTTGCACAACTTTGCTCACTTCTGATGGCTTTATGGGGACAGTTTCTGGAAGTTATAACACTACATGAAGAACTAAGATTACTATTAGCACAAGAGCATCATACTTTGAGGGTAAGTTAAAGAAAAGTGATGTTAGAGCATTTTAATGAGTATTATTATCTTTAGAAATTTCTTATGAATAAAAAGGCTGATTTTTACCTAACATTGATAAATTGGAAAAGAAACATTTATCATCATGTTATTGTTTGACTTCTAAGTTAATAACAGAACAAGCCAGGCCCAGTGGCTCATACCTGTAATCCCAAAACTAGGAAGGTTGAGGAGTGAGGATCACTTGGGCCCAGGAGTTGGAGGCCGTAGTGAGCTAGAATCATGCCACTTCACTCAAGTCTGGGTGACAGAGCGAGATCTTGTCTCTAAAAATAAATAAATAAATAATAGAACTATGCATTTAAGCACGTGACCTGTCTCAGTCACAACCCTTGCTTGTAAGAAAAACCTCCTAAAAGTAAGTAAAATAGGAAAATATATGATGCAAGATAGCCTCTGGAAGCCCAAAACAAGAATTGTAGCCAGGCCTCATTAGGGACAGGAATCAGGAACTAGAGAGCCATCTCAAACTAATATGGAGTCTCTCTCTTCTTCTCCTTTTCCTCCCCTCCTCTTTACCTCTTTTCTCCATCCCTCACCTCATATAAGGATGTGTATTACAATCTTGGCAGGGTGGAGGGATTAGTCTAGACATATGTGTTTGCTATCAGCCTAGTATGGACATCATGCAGAAATTTTTATACAATTTTATTATGTAACATCCCAAGAGACTTTAAGATGTTAAATATCTGATTATCTTTCCAGTCTCATTTCCTTATATACCCTGTATGTACCTAATTTTCCTTAATCTACTAGGACTTCCTTCGTACATCATGTTTATTTTCTATTTTCCTTTTTTAATTTTTATTTTCTTAATTATAAAACATAGCATAATCAAAATCAGAAAAGTATATAAAATATGCACATTTTATCAAATAGTTAAAAAAAACACACTCTTTTGATTATTACCCACATCAAGAAATAGAATGCTGTGAACAGTACAGGTATCCTTTATGTGTCTTTTTCAATTACTCTCCCCTTCCTAATACTGAGAAGTAATCACTATTTTGTCTCTTATAATGATGAATTCCTTCTTTTTCTTTTAGTTTTACCATCTTTGTATACACACTAAGTAATAGAGGTTATTTCCACCTGTTATTCAGGTGGAATAATCTATATAAATGAGATTATGCAGCGTGTATTCTTTTGTATCTTGCTTTCTTTGCTCAAGACTTTGAAATTAATCCATGTTTTTGTCAGTAGCTATAGATTGTTCATTTTCATTGCTGTGATGTACTCCATTTGAATATACCTACAATTTGTTTATCTGTATTACTGTTGATGGATATTTGGATTACTTCTAACTTGTAGCTATTACAAACCAAGCTGCTATGAATTCTTGTACATATTTCTTGTTATACCAGTGTCTCCGAAATATTTGCCTATGAGGGAAATTGCTGAGTTATAGGGTATGCATAACTTGAAGTTTACTAGCTAATGCCACACTATTTCCAAAGGGGTGCCAATTTTCACTCCCACCAGCAGTGTATGAGAGTCTTGTTATTCAAAATGTTCTCCAACTCTTGCCAATCTGATGGATGAGATATAGTATATTATTGTGGTTTTAATTTATATTTCTCTGATGACCCATGCAGTTGTATACTACTATGTATGATTATTGGCTCTGTAGGTTTCCTATTTGTGAAGTGCCTTTTCAATTCTTTTATCCATTTTCTATAGAATTAGCTTTTTCTTCTTGATTTATAATAATTTTATATGTATTCTAAATTCTGGTCCTCTGTTACATGTTTTTATAAATAGACCCTCTCTTATTTCATGATTTGCTTTTTTTCACTGTCTTTATATTGTTTTTTTTTTTTTTTTTTTTTGAGACAGAGTCTCACTTTGTTGCCCAGGCTAGAGTGAGTGCCGTGGTGTCAGCCTGGCTCACAGCAACCTCAATCTCCTGGGCTCAGCGATCCTACTGTCTCAGCCTCCCGAGTAGCTGGGACTACAGGCATGCGCCACCATGCCCGGCTAATTTTTTGTATATATATTTTTAGTTGGTCAATTAATTTCTTTCTATTTTTGGTAGAGACGGGGTCTCGCTCAGGCTGGTTTTGAACTCCTGACCTTGAGCAATCCGCCTGCCTCGGCCTCCCAAAGTGCTAGGATTACAGGCGTGAGCCACCGTGCCCCGCCTTACATTGTCTTTTGATGAACTCTATAGGTCTTTATTTTAGTGTAGTAGGAAAAAAGGAGAAATGCCAGACATAGACATATACCTTTGTGGAGGTAATAAATGTAGATCAGCCTGGAAGAGGTGAGATTGTGAGTAAATGATGTTGAGACAATTGGGTATCCATGTGGAAAAGTATATAAAATTCAATTCCAGGTGAATTGAAGACTTAAACATAAAAGACAAAACCATAAAGCTTTTAAAATATAATAGGAAACTTATAGAAGGCTTAAAAAAAATAGTACAAGGAGCTTCCATATGCTTTTTATTAGGATCACAAATTACCATTTTGGCACATTTGCTTTATCATTCCCTCTTTTTATAAATAGATACACACATAAATGTATACATATATTTATTTTTTTTAGTGTTTTTTATCCCTAAATACTTCAGCATGCATTAATATTTCCTAAGAACAAGCCCATTCTCTTAACCACAGTACAATGACCAACTTTAGAAAATTTTATATTGATACGATACTGATATTTAATGTATAATCCCCATTTAAATTTTACCAATTGCCTTAATAATAATATTAGTTGTGTCGTCACTCTTTCTTTCTTGAATGGTCTCACCAGAAGTTTGTCATTTTATTGGTCTTTTCAAAGAACCAACTTTTGGTATTATTAATTCTCTCCCATGTATGTTTTGTTTTCTGTTGCATTACTTCTGGCATATTGTAGTAAATAGGACCCTTATAGGAATACTTTAGTTTTACAGAATTCTTTCTTAGAAGTCTTTTATTAAAGGCCAGTCACACTTGGGAGGATCCCTTGAGCTCAGGAGTTTGAGGTTTCGGTGAGCTCTGATTGATTCGGCCACCGCACTCCAGTGTGGGCAGCAGAGCAAGACCACATCTCTAAAAAAAAAAGAAAAGAAAAATTAATCACCTCTAAAGGGCCAGATAAAAGGGATTCTACAGTTGATAAAACAGTGTAATTTTACTGCATTCAACTTACTGATAACCTTACTTCATCTTAATGTAGTGATTTCGAATGAATGGCATAATTAATGGAATACATATTTTTTAGACAATTTTCATTAACATTATTTCTCACTACCAAGATTTTGAGCCATGATAAATTATAGTAATAGCATCAGAAGTATAGTCAGTTTCAGCATAAATTACATTGACATTGATAAGCATTAAAATATCTCACTGATATTCTTTTTTAAAAATTTAGGACTCTGACCAGGACTTGAAAGCTAGGTGGCCTCCACAGAGAGGCAAATGTATACATAAACCTCAGCCAAAACTTTCTTGAAAAGTATATCAGAATATACAATCACCCAGGTTTGTGCACTACAGAATGGGGGTCAGCAAACTTTTTCTGTTAAGGGCAAAATAGTAAACATTTTGAGTTTTAGGAGCCATGTATCTTTGTCTAAACTACTCAGCTCTGTTATTGTAGCATGAAAACAACCATGGATAACATGTAAATTTATGGCTGTGTTTCAATAAAGCTTTATTTACAAAAACAAGTGGCAGGCCAGATTTGGCTCTCAGACTGTAGTTTGCCAACCCCTACAGGAAGGTTGAGGAAAGGTGGTACCTAAGAGGAAAGGTGTGATACCTCCTCCTATAAGAGTAACCACACAATAAAGTCTATTTGAGGTTATTTTTAGTGGCCAATGGAAGTAAAGGCCAGTAGCAAGAAATAGTTTTACAAGAGGAAGATAATCTTCAGGGTATTTTTTTAAACTATGTTTTTAATAAAGAATATTAAATATTATAGTTCCATGAAATTGTTAATACCTTGCCCTACCTAAATGTAAGTTCTGGAAAGAGAATGATAGCAAGGATTAGAGGCAACTTTTAACATGATACTCTATGGGGAAGAAGCTGTCCTGGGTAGAATAGAAACAAGAAGGTAAATTTAAATAGAAAGCAGCTGGCGAACATAACTTTGAGAAAAGGGGGCAAAGAAAGAGGACCAAGACAAAAATCAGGTTTATGGAAAACTGAATGCCAAAAGTCAACTTTGGAATTTAACCTAGAGCTTTTCTTTTTATACCTCATTCCAGATGCCACTGCTAGAGGGCCTATTTTAACCCCTAAAGGAATCAAGGAGGGGTAACTAAGACACAGTAAGAAAGTGCCCTAATGTTACTTAAGTAGGCATAAGCCTTGTGCTGCCCTGCAGTGTGTTACAAAAATGGTGGAAATGGTAACATATTATGTTCTCTGTCTCCTATTTATGTAATTCAACAGGAACTTTGCTCAAAGTTTGTTTTTTTTTAACACTAAATGTTAGTATATTTATTCTTTATTACCATTTTTGAAATATTTTGCATTGTATATGTTGAGGATTTATGTAATCCTTTAAAATAATTTTTTTTTAATTTCAGAATATTATGGGGGTACAAACGTTAAGGTTCATACATTTCTTATCTCCCCTCCCCCCTCAACGTTTATTGAGAATATAGTTCTAAGCCTACAATATTGAAACAATCCAAAGGTCATTCAGTGTTTATACAGGAACCGACTTAGCCATAGTAAAGTATATAGGCTGTTTGATAATGTATTCAGAAGCAGCACAATTGAGCTAAATCACAGAAATAAGCTCTGATATGAAATCTCTCCTTACTAGCAGAAAAACAAATAATGAAGCAAGGAGTAGGACTAAAAAGAGGAAATGTAAATCTATACTTGAAAAAGAACAGTTTTAAAATTAGCTTAAAACTAATCCAACCATATTATTTGATATCAAGATCCAGAAAGTACAAATTTTTGGATTTTTGGAAAATTTAAGTCTTCCAAAATTATCTAACTTCTGTAGTT